TGGCTGGCTTCAATCAATGAGGCTCTAAACTCAGCACTCCTGGGGCTGCAGGGGTACTGGTGGGGATAGCTGGATTCAGGATGCACAGCCAGCAATAAGCAACCAGAGGGCCTCTGCATCCTTTTGTTCATGAAAACCTTGGTTGACGCTCCCAAAGCTGGGCTGGACAGAGGGAAACATGAAAACAAAGCCTTACTCAGCAACAGGGCCAACAAGCAAGCTTAGTATAGGGCAGGAAAGTCTGCTACTTCCCTCAAAACCAAAATTCTAGTTAGCCACTGCAAGAGAACAGAATCCAAACAGATTTGCAGAGCAATCAGGGCAAGAATTGGATGTCCAAAGCAGGGGAGGAAATCTCTTTTCTAAAAGAGAGGATAACAATAAGAAGTTTTTTGCTTTGAATAGTGCTTTATCATCAACAAAATGTAATCTCACGGACTCTCTGGCCAAACTGCTGTGTTCCAATCCAGCTCTTCCCAGTTATAAGCTGAGTGAGCCCGGGCAAGACAAACTTTTGGTGTCTTACTTTCCTGGGGTTCATAAACCCTACTACTACCTTCCTATTAGGACTTTTGTGAGGATTAAATAAGATCATGCATATGAAGTATTGAGAGCATGCCTGCTACAGGGAAATGCTACATACATGTGTTTGCTATTATTTCATTTGTTCTTTACAAACGGCCTGCAAAGAAAATAGAATAGATATTACTGAAACTGTGGGTAATTAGCCAAATCCATTTCACCTGCCTTCACTCATCAACGTCGTCTACAAAAGACATACATACCTTTCAAGCAGCACGTAGCCTAAACAATAAGATGTTTGCCCCAGTTTTCCAGGAACTTGGAGTCAGCTGTGTCTAGTTCGAGCTCAGCTCGTTAAGACCGGGCATGCGCAATTGTCAGCTGCTGACCTTTTGACGTCAGAGGGCGTCAGGTCACGCTAAGGGCCTCCATTCCTTAAAGGTGCAGACGCCGGTAGCTTAGTTAGAGAACAACAATTACCGCACCTTTTCGCAACTGCATTTCCCCGTGCTCCCCACGCCTTGGGCCGTCCTGCGTCATGATTGCTTATCCCATAAATACCCCAAGCCAATTGCCTTCAGGTAAGTGGATCTGAGACTAGTTCTCCCATCTTCCTAATTGGCTGCCTCGCGAATAAAACCTCTGCTGCAAACCTCGGCATCTCAGCATTTTGGCTTGCTGTGGTTCGGGCAAAAGGAACCTGGTTCAGTAATATTATCTCCGTCGGAAGGATGGAAGCTACGAGTGGTTAAGAAGTTTAAAAGTGTACCAGTAATAAGTTGTAGAGGTAAGGTTAAAACCTAGCTCCAGTGCTTTTCTTTTTTCTTTCCTATTTTCTTTCGGTCCGCCATGCGGCTTGCGGTATTTTAGTTCCCCAACCAGCGATTGAACCTGGGCCACAGCAGTGAAAACACCGAGTCCTAGCCACTGGACTGCCAGGGAATTCCCCAGTGCTTTTCTTTTTTCTTTTTTTTCTTTTTCTTTTTGCGGTACGCGGGCCTCTCACTGTTGCGGTCTCTCCCGTTGCGGAGCACAGGCTCCGGACGCGCAGGCTCAGCGGCCATGGCTCACGGGCCCAGCCGCTCCGCGGCTTGTGGGATCTTACCGGACCGGGGCACGAACCCGCGTCCCCTGCATCGGCAGGCGGACTCTCAACCACTGCGCCACCAGGGAAGCCCCCCAGTGCTTTTCTTTAGTAATTCATTAATCCATTTTTTAAAAAAATAATTAATTTATTTTTGGCTGTGTTGGGTCTTCGTTTCTGTGCGAGGGCTTTCTCTAGTTGCGGTGAGCGGGGGCCACTGTTCATTGCAGTCCGCGGGCCTTTCACTGCCGCGGCCTCGCTTGTTGCGGGGCACAGGCTCCAGACGTGCAGGCTCAGTAGTCGTGGCTCACGGGCCCAGTTGCTCCGCGGCATGGGGGATCCTCCCAGACGGGGTCTCGAACCCGTGTACCCTGCATTGGCAGGCAGATTCTCAACCACTGTGCTACCAGGGAAGCCCAAATCCTTTTTTTAAAATTCCTTCATTCGATGTGAGTTGAGCCCTTGCTATGTACGAGCCACACTGTTAGGGACACAGAGATATATCTTGACACAGGTGTTTCCTGAAAGATATCAGAAGGTCATGGTTAGTGCCTGATAAAAGCATTGGTTTGAGGAAAGCTGGAAGTGATTTGGTGGTGTGCATGAGGTAAGTTTTCCGCTAATACCAGGCTTTCATTACTAAGCCAAGGTTTCTCAAGGTTTAAGTGGTGGAACGAGTAGAAGTCATGAAGTTTTGCTGTTCTTTGGGAAACATCATGAACTACTGATCTGCTCCGTTAACGAAAGAGACACTATCCAATTCGTATTATACTTGGAAAGTTTAGCGGTAAAATTTCAGGCTCAGGAGGAGTTGAACTCTCCTGATTCGAAGCCCATTTCATCTCTTACTGGCTGTGTGACTTGGAGTCGATTAATGAACCTCTCTGAGTCTCTGTTTGCTGCTCTTTGAAATGGGGATATCAGTCAGCCCTCCCCCTGAAGGATAACAAGATGATGCAGCACTTCCCAATCTTATTTGAGCATTGTATACTTTTTCCTTGGCATCCTGACTGACGTCCTGCAGGTAGCCTGCAAGACACCAACATAGAAAATGACCCTGTTTTATTGATTTTTTTTTTTAATTGCATTAGTTTTTTCTTCATGGCTGTGCCTGAGGAAGGAGGGTAGACAATGATGTAGTGCATGATTGGGGCTGCAACTCTACCCTGCTCAGTCATGGGTAGAAACAATCTGGTGTTTATCAATCTTTGAGGCCTTTTACTGTGCGTGTATTCTAAAATCAGTTGTCTGATGAAATTTTTTTTTTTTTTTTTGCGGTACGCGGGCCTCTCACTGTTGTGGCCTCTCCCGTTGCGGAGCACAGGCTCCGGACGCGCAGGCTCAGCGGCCATGGCTCACGGGCCCAGCCGCTCCGCGGCATGTGGGATCTTCCCGGACCGGGCCACAAACCCGTGTCCCCTGCATCGGCAGGCGGACTCTCAACCGCTGCGCCACCAGGGAAGCCCTATCTGATGAAATTTTAAAAAGTGTTCATCTAATGCTTACTGTGTGTTAAATACTGTTCTAGTCATTGAGGAAACGAGATTAAGCCCCATAAGGCTCACCCTCTCATAGAACTTATATTTTAGGGGAGTGACAGATAACAAACCCAAAAACAAACAGTAATTTAAAGCAGTAATATATACTAGGAAGGTTGGCAAATAATGGCACTGCTACAGTTCCTACTACTAAAATGGTAATAATAGTGATAATTATAGCCAGCAGGAGAGAGCTAAGTATATCATAGGCAGCAGTCTGATCTCTATTCATTCACTTATCACCAGTCTTTTTTTTTTTAATGGAGTAACTTTTAGCATCTCTTAGACTAGTTTTATGGGGTTATGGTTTGGAAAACATAGCTATTCATTTCAAGCAAACAATCTTCAAGTACAGCTTTCAGCATGCCCGCCCCGAACATTTGCAGGGCCCAGGACAAGAGTACAAATAGCGGCCCACATACCATGTGTCTAAATATTTAAGGGTTACAAATCAAGCGAATAAACTTTCAAATCTATCCTCCTGGCTTGACAAATATAACGTCATAACAACGGGGAAGGCCAGGTTTGGATTTAGAACTCTCAGAGCCTTGGATTTTTGTGCTGGAAGATGGTGGCCTGGGAAGAACTGGCTCCTGGGAACCACATTCCTTCTTGACCCACCATCAGTAAGAGGCTTTGCTCGAAAGATGTGGACCCCAGTCCCGTCCCACAAACAGTCATCACTTGGGTACCTCTTGGAATGGATCTTAGAAAGTATGGACCAGAGATTCCAGAGTTCTGGGTATCCAGCAAACAAAGAAACGTAAAGTACAGATAGAATGACTAAGTTACTTCCAACCCTGACATTTCATGATTCGGTTTTTAGTGCTGGAATTTGCATGATCTTAAACCTGCAAAATGTTGATACTATGCTCTGTGTGTACAAGATGTTTTGTCTGGCAAGAAGTGTGCCTTGTGGAAAATTCTAAACAATGGCCTAGGAAACAGAATTGGGAATTATTATATAGACATGTCTTGACAATAATGTTATTAATTGATCACACAAGGCCCTAGAATCCAAAGAAATGTCAAATCTCAGAGCAAGTAAGAGTAACTTAAGTTCAGAATTATGGGCAAAACATTTCCCTTTCTTGGACTTCAGTTTCCCATGTGAAAACACTAAGTTTTGGATTCTGAGTTCCTTCTAGCACATTTTTATGATTTTTATGATGTGATCTGCAAGAGCTTTTCCCTTGAATAGAAAGCAAGGGTATTTAGTAAGGGGAAGGGTCTGAACAGAGAGATGTTTAACAAGAGCAATAATTACATATTATGTTCCAGTCTTTTATAGCTTATGTAAAAGGTTTTTGAATGCATTATCTCATTGGATTTTCATCCCCTGCCTGTGATGCTGGTGTCTTTTCCTCCATTTGCCACTAAAGAACATCAAGCCTAGAAGAGATGAGTGAATTACCCACAATCTCTCAACCTCTGAGTGACACTAGAGCCAGCTCTCAAATCCATATACAGCCTTTAAAGTGGGTGTTTCCAAACCTTTGGTTTCCAAACCTTTGCATTCGGGAAAGATGGTCTTGCAGGTGTGAAATCCATTCTTTCTGAAGGAAGAGGGGGGTAAACAGCAGCAAGTATAAGCATGTCTCTTATGACTCGTTAGTCAACTTAAGGCAGACCTTTATTTCAGACGGGAAATCATTATTGCAGCTGCTACTAGGCCGACACATACGGACGTACACACCCTCCTCGCAGCAGCATTGTCTCACTTTGCCCTGGACACCCAGGCTCCGGAATAATGCAGCCAGTGGGACACTTTCCTGGCGCATACATTGTAAAATGCATAATGGCTGAGGGCATGTTTCGGAGCACTGCATCTCTTTCCATCCCTTAAACAGATTGTGTGTGCAGCCTGGCCGGTTGCCCGCAGCATTCTACCTGCCGCATCGGGAAAGGCTGAACCTCGATGGAGAAGAAAAGGAGACTCCACTGTACGGAACGCTCTCCTGTGCGCATGCTCCGAGAGATTTCATGCCAGGCGGAAGGCACAAGATACTCCGATAATTAAGTATCAAAGGTGAGTGGTAAAAATGAAAGAGGGGAGGAGGTGTATGAAAAAGTAAACATGCAAAGCCTTACAAAAAAGCACACACCTAAATGTAGTCACTGGAACGAATCAAATGAAAGTAAGTCAAAGCAAGAGATGAGTGCTAAATTCGCCAAATGGAAACACATTTTAGGGACGAAATCTTGCTTGTATTAACACACAAACCGTGGTTGGCAATGATGTATCTGGCCCCCAACACTCTGTTCCTGGGTGGTCAACTCACGTGGAGTCGGATTTCAATCTCTGCTCCTTTCCTTAATATCTGTATGAATGTGGGTCGGTTAATTAAACTTTTGAGTCTTAGTTTCTTTGTTTGGAAAGTGGGGATGAGTTATACCTACCACTCAGTTTTGTGTGTGTGTGTGTGTGTGTGACAAATGTGTTATATATTCTATCCAAACTGGCTTAGGTCAGCGTTTGGAAAATAGATGTTTATCTGGCCTGTGGTAGCTGCCGGATAACCAGAATCACCATCTTCATTAATTTATATTTCCATCTTCCATGCTTAACACTGGATCTTCATTAAATGTTGAATGCACTTGTTAAAAAAATTTTAAATCAAATTTAATGGGGCAGAATTTACATACAATAAAACACTCAGTTCAAGTGTAAAGTTCAATGACTTCTGATAATTCTATACCTTCATGTAATCACCACTACCACCAAAATAGGGAAAAATTCTCGTAGCCTGAACTGCTCTCTGCTGTCCCTTTGTGATCAATGACCCTCAACTTCCAGCCCAAGCAACTACTGATCTACTTTCTGTCACTACGCGTATTGCACACTATTTATTTCCTTCCTTTTCACGTACTTTGGGTTTAATTTGCTCTTCTATATCCAGCTTTTCAATGTGTGAATTTAGATAATTGACTTTAGTGCTTTCTTTTCCCGCGTTAGCCACATCTCAAAAATTGATACGTTTTAATTTTCTTCCAGTTTAAAATACCTTATAGTTTCCCATCTTATTTCCTCTTCAATCCATGGTTTATTTAGTAATGCACTGTTGATGTCATAACCATGTAGGGAATTTTGAGTTATCCTTCAATCTGCTGGTACTTTCAATTTTAATTCTGTTATGGTCAGAGAGCATGCCCAGCTTTATTTCAGTTGTTTAAAATTTGAGACTTCTTTTATGGCTAAGAACATCATGGTGAAAGTGTATATTCTTTTAAAAAATTTTGTTGAGATGGTAGATTTCATGTTAACTATTCTTACCACAATAAACTTAAAAAATTTAGAAAATTGTCCTTTACATTTACCCTATATTTATATTTATATTACCCTGTACCCTATATTTACCATATATTCACCACATTTAGCACTCTGCATTCTTACGTGTTGATTCAGCTTTCCTTTTGGTATCATTTCCGTTCTTCCTTTAATTCCTTTAAATTTTATTTTTTGTGGGCCATATCTGTTAGCAGTAAACTCTTGCAGGCTTTGTTTGTCTAAAAACGTCTTTATTTTTACCTAAGTTTTCAGAAGTGTTTTTTCTGGTTATAGAACTACTGGTTGCCTGTGTTTTTCTTTCAGCGCTTTAAAGGCTGTAAGCCATCTTCTGTGGTTTACGTAGTGTTAACCATTCTCATCTCTTATCTCTGTTCCTCTGTAAATAATAACTTTTTTCTATAGAAGATTTTGAGATTATATTACTGGTTTTTACAATTTGATTATGGTTTGTCATGGTGTCATTTTCCTTTTATTGTCTGTCTTGGCAATTGCAGACCTCCTTTTTATTTATTTATTTATTTATTTTTGGCCGTGTTGGGTCTTCATTGCTGCATGCAGGCTTTCTCTAGTTGTGTTGAGCAGGGGCTACTCTTCGTTGCGGTGCGCAGGCTTCTCATTGCAGTGGCTTCTCTTGTTGCGAAGCACGGGCTCTAGGTGCGCGGGCTTCAGTAACTGCAGCACGCAGGCTCAGTAGTTGCAGCACGTGGGCCATAGAGCATGAAGGCTTCAGTAGTCGTGGCTCGTGGGCTCTAGAGTGCATGCTCAGTAGCTGTGGTGCATGGGCTTAGTTGCTCCACGGCATGTGGGATCTTCCCGGGCCAGGGCTTGAATGCATGTCCCCTGCATTGGCAGGCAGATTCTTAACCACTGCAACACCAGGGAAGTCCCATTGCAGACTTTCTTAAATCTGGTTTTAGATTTTTCAACAAATTTGAAAAAAGTTCAGCCGTTTTTTCCTCAAGTGCTCTATCTGTTCCATACCCTCGTGCTCTTGTCTATTATGCTGTGGTGTTTTATATTCTCCCACAAATCGCTGAAGCCCTGTTGATTTGTTTTTCAATAATTTTTTTCTCTGTATTACATTATGAATAGTATGTGGCTGTATCGTCAATTTAACTGACATTTTGTTCTTCAGTGTCTAATCTGCCATCTCATTCAGTGAAATTTGCTTTCCAAATGTTACCTTTTTCATTTTCCAAAGTTTCACTTTTTTTTTTATATCTTCCATTTTTTCTTCATTGCGTTTATATTTTTCAAATCCTTGTGCATATTGAGTGTATTTGTAGTGGTTACTTAAGGTTCTTTGTTGTTAATTCCATCATCTGTCTTTTGAGTCTGTCTCTACTGATTTTTTTTTTTTTTTAATATGGGTCCGTTTTCTTCTTGGCATGTCTGACAGTTTTTGTATACTGAATATCATATTTTTTGTGGTCTTGAGCACGGAATTTTTTGTTGTCTTCTCTTAAAGAGTGTTCAATTTTGTTCTGCCAGGTGTGGCTAAGTTACTTGGGGATCAACTTGATCCTTTTATACCTTGTTTGTAAGTTTCATTATAAAATGCCCTTTATTCAGTGCTACTAAATAGATCCTTCTGTGATACTTCCTAATGCCCCTGGTTTTCCTGGAGAACTCTCCATGATGACTGGTTAGAACCTGAGCATATCCTATCCTTGTGTGATATTAGTCAGCTTACAGTTTCCTAGTCATTCTTTGTCTGGCTTCTTGGAACCTTACTGGACGCACACATGCTTTTGTGCTTAGAAATAGACTTGAAAGAGCCTTTACAGACATGTCTGATGCTTAAGAAATTCTTTTCCACCTCTCTGGTTACCTGTTTTACTAATTTCAGCCGTGCTACCCTCTTTGAACTCCAGTATCAGTCTCTTCAGTTCAGCGAGAATGCCGTATTCTCTTTGGGCGCCTTCCCTTACACTGCAGTCTGGAAAGTACATCCAAGTAGAAATTTAGGGCAATTGTAGGGCTCATATATTTTGTTTCCCTCCTCATAGGGATCACAGTCCAGTGTAAAATGTTGGAAGATATTTGCTTCACATATTTTTCTGGTGTTTGTTTGTTTGTTTGTTATTTAGGGTAGGAGGGTAAGTCTGGTCCCAGTTATCCATCATGGTTGGGTGAGAAAGTTGATGTATTTCTTTTTTACAAAGGTTGATAGCATTATTAAAACCAAATGATTCAATTAGGGGCTAAAATGACAGCATCAGCTAATGGTCAAGGGCTTTCTATTTCTGCCTCTGTCACAAGTCAAAGTTTCACGCCACACCAGGGCTTTGCAGTGGTATTCTCCCTTAGTTCCTGTCATGAGGTCAAGCCTGTGGACAGTTGTCAATTGAATTGATACTACTTTTCTTTCCAGATTGGTCAATTTTAAGCTTTTTGTCCTTTGGACTCATGCCTACTTCCTCCATCAGCAAGTGAATTTAAGGAAAGTTTCTTCCCCAAACATTCTGTTATCACTAGCTCAATATTAGAGTTTTCTGCCTGTTTTCTTTTTTTTTTTTTTTTTTTTTTTTTTTTTTAATTTTTTTATTTATTAATTTATTTTGGGCTGTGTTGGGTCTTCGTTTCTGCGCGAGGGCTTTCTCCAGTTGCGGCAAGCGGGGGCCACTCTTCATCGCGATGCGCGGGCCTCTCACTATCATGGCCTCTCTTGTTGCCGAGCACAGGCTCCAGACGCGCAGGCTCAGTAGTTGTGGCTCACGGGCCTAGTTGCTCCGCGGCATGTGGGATCTTCCCAGACCAGGGTTCGAACCCGTGTCCCCTGCATTAGCAGGCAGATTCTCAACCACTGCGCCACCAGGGAAGCCCCTGCCTGTTTTCTTATTTCTGCGGCCAAGCTGTAATTTCATTGAGAACAGTCCAAAGGTTTGTATTTATAGCATTTGGCATAGTACCTGACTCATAATATATCTTCTAATATCAGTTGGATAAAAAAGAGGAATTCAAATTATGTCAAATCATCTCCCTTAAACTTTGCTTTAATTCTTCCAGCTAACTGTGAAAAGTGCAGATCTTTTTAGCTATCTCCATATATTAATCTTCATATTTTACCAACTCTAGTTGCTCCAAAATTATATAATTACAATATAAGTTTTAGGTATTTAAAATTCAAATTTCATTCTGTACACTATCTTTGGGAAATCTTTTCCAAGCCTACACTGTACAATGATGAATTCTAAATATCCTCTCCGTCTTTCTTCTCTCTCTTGAACTCCAAACTGGGTGTTTGCACTTGAATATCCCACAGGGCTCTTAATCTTAATTATGTCCAAAATAGAACTCATCATTTTTCCTTAATTCTGTCCTCTTTTTCTGTGTTTTCTCTCATGGCTTTTGGATAAACAAAGTCCAAAATCCTTCGCATAGCATACAAGATCTTTCCACATCGAATCCCTGGTGACTTCAACTTTTTTGCTCATAACTCCTCTGCCCTGAATGTGCTCTTATACCTCCCAACTCTCCATAACATTTTACAATGTTATTTATTCTATTAATTCACTTTTTTCACTGACTTATCCTTTCAGCCTACTGCAGTGGAAGTTTTCTGGCTTCTCCAGATATATTCTCCATTCTTTTCACCTGCTCTGGGCCTGAGCATTCTTCTGTATGGGCTATGTGAATGGGGTTCTTTGCCTCTGATATCTGGTGGGGTTTGGTCTAAGAAAATCCAGCGAAGAGATCAAGAATAGGAGATGCTATGGACTGAATGTGTCTCCCCAAAT